TGGGGAAAATAGGTCGGAGGAAGAGCGAAGGACTTAGGAGTAGTACAAAGAGAGGAGGACCGAACATGTGGCCCAGTTGTGCTCTCTTCCTCCCACAGCCACGCCTCCTTCCTTCCTTCCAAGCCACGCCCTCTTCACAGCCACGCCCCCTCCTCAGTCACGCCCCCCTCCTCAGTCACGCCCCTATCCTTACAGCCACCTCTCCCTCTTAGTCACGCCCCCCCTTCCCCCCTTTCATCCGCGTCCCCCTCCTTACATCCACCTTTGAGAGAGAAGGTGGCGAGGAGGATGGGAGATAAAAAAGGAGGGAGACAGAGACTGAAGGAGGGAAGAGGGAGGGGAGAGAAAGAAAAAAAATGAGACGAGAGAAAAAAAAATGGAGACCAAATGAAAATATAAAATATGAAAGACAGAGATGATGAGAGAGAGAGAGAGAGAGAGAGAGAGAGAGAGAGAGAGAGAGAGAGAGAGAGAGAGAGAGAGAGAGAGAGAGAGAGAGAGAGGTATATGATGGAGGATTCAGAGTAAACTGTGCATCGAGAATCTTAAGAGCAAGTGTTTGTTTGTGTTGGTAAATGGGGCGTGAATGTTAAGAAGAGGAGGAGGAGGAGGAGGGGGCAGCAGTGGAGTGGAATGGAGTGAAAGAATTGGAGTGGGAGCTTAGAGTGGAGTGAGTAGGAGGGGAACAGTTAACAGGAAGAGAGAGTAAGAGGAAGGGGGAGAATTGGTAATGTAAAGAGAAGGAAGTGAGGGAGAGGAGGAACGGAGGGTGGAATAGTTAGGAGAGGGAGGGTGGAATAGCTAGGAGGGGCAAGATGGGGAGGGTGGAATAAACAGGAACGGGTGGATGGGGAGAAGGTGGAAGAGTAAGGATGGTAAGATGATAAAGGGAGATGAGAGGTAAAAAGAGGAAGAGGAGGCGATGGGATTACGTCTCGTGGTGGTGGGGTGAGGGGTGTAAGGTGGTGGGGAGGACAGAGGGGAAATGATTATTACACCGAGGGGACCACCAACAATATCAAGAACAACAACAATAACAGCAACAAAAACAACCACCACTACCACACCGCCACCACCAACGACCACACCCACCAACTACCACACCTCCCACCAACTACCACACCACCCACCAACTACCACACCTCCCACCAACTACCACACCTCCCACCAACTACCACACCTCCCACCAACTACCACACCACATATGACACACACTCATGCACACCCAGCGCCAGGTGACACACGTTTCCGAGACTTCTCATTGGAGGGTCGTGGACGGCAGGCCTTTCGTGAGACCCCAAACTGGAACGGCTTGGATGTCAAAATTTTCATGAAACCCCAATTTGGAAGGTTTTGGACGGCAGATTTTCCCAGATGGCAGACTGCTTCTCAGGCCCCAAATTGGAGACCAAAAATTCGGTATGCCATAGGAAACACTTGAGAGTTTTCCAGAAGCCCCAAATTGGAAAGGCTTAAACTGCCGACTTATTCTCAAGGTCCCAAATCAGGTTAGTGGTGGTGGGCGGCAGACTCCCGTAGGGGCCGTGTTGGAACGGGAAAAAAAGGCAGACCCAAAATATAAATGGAAACTTGTTGACAAGGAATGTGGGCGGCGTGATAAAAGCAACAGTCTATGTTTAGATACAGAGAGAGAGAGAGAGAGAGTGTTGTGGAAGACGAAGAGAGGAAAGGGAGGAGGAGGAGGCGGGAAGACGAAGAGAGGAAAGGGAGGAGGAGGAGGCGGGAAGACGAAGAGAGGAGTAGAGTGTGTGTTGGAGGGAGGTTAGGACAGATCGCTTAAGCTCCAGCATCAGAGGGGAGGGAGGGAGGGCCTTAGGGGGATGGGGTGAGTGATCAGCTGATGGAGTAAGCCTGGGGGAGGTAGTAGGGGGAGGAGGAGACATGGTGTAGCAAGGGCGCCTCTCATGTCACCGTCATCGTCGCCGGCGTGTGACCTACTTCAGCTAGATTGGAGAGTCGTTATCATCGCGTTGCAGAGAGTTTAAGATTTTCAAGTGACAAAAATTTTATGATTTATATACGCTCGTCATCTCTCTCTCTCTCTCTCTCTCTCTCTCTCTCTCTCTCTCTCCGTATCTTATTTGCTTGTGAATTCTCTCATAGTCAAACTGTCTTCATAAACATCATATCATTAGACTCTCCTTGGCAGGTCAGATGAGTGTTTAGTGAGAGCCAAGTAAGATATAAGTCTGGTGAAAAATGTTCCCTCAGGTAACATATTCATGGATCGTAAGGGAGTTTTGCATATGAATATCTCCAAGTTAAGTGAGGAGAAAGCCGCGGGTCTATACACACGATCAGTCCCCGTGTGTTGGGTGATACCGGGGAGGTCCTCACGCCGCACGTCCATCCATAATGTACACGTGTGGGGTGGGTGTGGTGCCCTCTCCTCTTCTTCCTCCCCTCTCCTCTTCTTCCTCCCCTCTCCTTCCTCCCCTTTCCCCCCTCTTCCCCTTCTTCCTCCTATCCCCCTTCCTCCTCCTCCACCAGTATCCTTAATTGCTACTTTTCTTTCAACTGTTATATAACCTGGTATCGATCCCATGAGACCATCACCTAACCTTACCTTATGACGGCCTGATTAACCACATTGCTTTACCACGTCTTGTCGTTGTTTATACTCACTCACTCAAACTGTTACGAGTTAGGACACCAGATGTAACAGTACCTAGTCTAGTGATGGTGAACTGTCATGGTGTGGGAATGTTTTGAGATTGGTAATTATTGTGAGGCATCTCTGCTGTGTTCCTGATGGTGGTGGTGGTGGTGGTGGTGGAGACGTAGTAATAGTCACTTGTTGATGTTGTCACTCTATTGTCAACGTGTTTATCGTCATGGTGGGGGAGAGGGTGTCGTGGTCCATAAGGATGTAAATTAACAATCCTATCTTGATGTACTGTACCTGACGAGACATTTCCAAATAGGAGAATAAAAATAGAATAAAAAACGAGAGAGAAATCATTAGAGAACGTGTGATGATGATGATGATGATGATGTGGATGATGATGTGGAGGATGTGGATGATGATGATGGTGATGTGGATGATGATGATGGTGATGTCTCGGTGGTGGACACGACACACGCTTCGTCACTATCTGTTAAAACTGGTGTGAGTGTCGTGATGAGTTTCGACGTCACTCTCCATTTATGTGTCACTCAACTGTATGTATGTACGATTTTTCCTCATTAAATATCTGACAGTGTTGTCATTCTCCCGTGTTGTCATTCTCCCGTGTTGTCATTCTCCCGTGTTGTCATTCTCCTGTGTTGTCATTCTCCGTGTTGTCATTTCCTGTGTTGTCATTCTCCCGTGTTGTCATTCTCCCGTGTTGTCATTCTCCAATGTTGTCATTCTCCCGTGTTGTCATTCTCCCGCGTGTTGTCATTCTCCCGTGTTGTCATTCTCCCGTGTTGTCATTCTCCCGTGTTGTCATTCTCCTGTCAGTTTGAGTTGTTGATTTTACAGTAACGAGAGGCAGCCCAGTAGTTTACCCGCCATTCTATGTTGTTAACGTAACGGTCCAGTCTTTTTTGTGTTGATTTTTACACTGTCACGTGTGTGTGTGTGTGTGTGCGTTACTGCTGTCATTCTCCTCTCAGTGTGAATGGTTATTGGTACGGTATATGTTGCCTGATATTATGCCTCGGGTGATGTACAGAACGATATGGTCGGGTCGGCTCGGGTCGTGTCGTTCCTTGGTAATATTACAAGCTCGTGTTTTTAGTATCGGTAAATATCGTTGTCGTTCTCCTCTATGAGTGTGGATGGTTTCATTACGGGTTTCATCTCTTGTTATTACGGGTGGGGGGTGGGGGATACAGTAAACCCTTCTTCTTGTTGGGGGAAGGGGGTCTCTCCTCCACCCTCATGTGGCTGGTAACTCCATCAGGTTGTTGCCCTTACAACCTGCGTCAATACACCAGACTGATGCTTCTATCTTGTGTCAGAGAGTGTTGTTTCGTCACCTCGCCTCCCAAGTGTTGTCTAGCAGTGTCTCGTGGGTGTGGCGGGGAATCTGTTTCTCCTCTAGCACCGGAAGGGGTCATGGTGTGGGAAGTTTAGGGAGGGAAAAATAAATAAAGTGTGGGTGTTGTAATAACTCTGTGTTACGGTAATCTGCTGCCGTTCTCACACCTCTCGTCGGTATAACTGTAAACAATAACAGATGGTTGTAACTTGAAGCAGTATTTGATATAACGAGAACTTTTAACCATGTTCTGTATTGCTGAGGATGTGGTGTTATATGTAGCATGGTGGTGCTGTGGTGGTGGCGGTCATGGGAGGTAAGGGCAGGTGTTTCAGATTCGTGGGATAAACTGTCCATAATTGAAAACAGTGTTACAAGTGTGTGTGTGTGTGTGTGTGTGTGTGTGTGTGTGTGTGTGTGTGTGTGTGTGTGTGTGTGTGTGTGTGTGTGTGTGATGCAGGATCATTTTACAGGTCGTTGGCAATAAACCATAACATCATTTACCTGTTATTGAAGGTGACCTCACTCCCGCTAGGTAACAACACCAAGACCACCCCCACCCCTGTCACCAGGTGTGATGATAACACAGTCCTCACCTGGATGATATTACTTACCACTCGTAAATATGGCGAAGTTATTAACAAGTGCGTTAGTATCACTTATACTGTAGATTTCAACTTCAATTTAAGTGTATTGCGTGACAAATTAAAACACATCTGGTAGAGCGAGTGTTGTGCGTGGTGTTATTATTGCTGTGCTACACTGTGTATGTCTGTGTGTGGTGTGTGTGTTTTTATGCATACCGGTACGTTTATTTGTCTCTATATTCCTTAATATATATATATATATATATATATATATATATATATATATATATATATATATATATATATATATATATATATATATATATATATATAAATAGATATCTATATTTGTGTGTGTGTGTGTGTGTGTTAAAATCATTTACTTTTCATATATATGTGACTGACCTGTTGTGTTGTGTTTCAGGTTTGCCAGATCCGTTCGCCAAGATCAGTGTCGAAGGGTCAGGACAGTGTCACTCCACAGACACTTGCCGCAACACACTCGACCCCAAGTGGAACCAATACTACGACCTGTAAGTACCTCTACCTACTTACCTATCTGAGGATGTGTGTGTGTTTACCTGTCACAGTACCAGGACTTGTGGTATACCTGTGATGTATACCTGGGTGGTTTGTGGTGGTACCTGTGACAATACCTGGATGATTGTGGTGGTACCTGTGATGATACCTGGGTGATTTGTGGTACCTGTGATGTATACCTGGGTGATTTGTTGTGGTACCTGTGACAATACTCTCAAACTTATCCCATTTATATACCTTTGAGGGATACAGTCACTCAAAAAATATCTATACAAAATTATGTTGAACAAATCTGACACAATGGACGAAAGTATTTTGACAACCCTACTGAGGCAACAGAAGTCACAGTGTTCATTGTGAAATTCATCGGTCACCCCAAGTACAGATAGTCTTTTGAGTGATTGTTTGGATTTTACTGTGTGTGTGTGTGTGTGTGTGTGTGTGTGTGATCGTCGCCTGGAGGAGAGAAGAGAGAGGAAGGGAGGGTGGGGGGGCTAGTGGTAGAGGAGGAGGGTTTGTGTTCTCCCATTCCTCCTCTCTCTCATCACTATCTCTTCTTTTTCTCTCTTTTCTTCTTTACCATACCCTCTTTTCTCCTTTTCTCCTCCGTCAATCTCCTCTTCCTTCCTCCTCTACTTTCATTCATTCTCTCTCATCATAACTCCTCCCCTTTCCTCCATCCTCCCTTCCTTCTTCCTACTCTACCCCCTCCTTCCTTCTCCTCCTTCCATCCCCTCTGGAAATGGATAAAGGTGGAAGTGGAGGATGGATGATGATGGTAAAGGTGGAAGTGGATGGTGGATGAAGGCTGGATGGTGCGGGTGGTGGAAGGTGGAGGTTGGATGAAGGCTGGATGGTGCAGGTGGTGGATGGTGGAGGTTGGATGAAGGCTGGATGGTGCGGGTGGTGGATGGTGGAGGTTGATGGAGGCTGACGGTGGTGGATGGTGGAGGTTGATGAAGGCTGGGTGGTGGATGGTGGAGGTTGGATGAAGGCTGGATGGTGGGTGGTGGATGGTGGAGGTTGATGAAGGCTGGATGGTGCGGGTGGTGGATGGTGGAGGTTGGATGAAGGCTGGATGGTGCGGTGGTGGATGGTGGAGGTTGGATGAAGGCTGGATGGTGGAGGTTGGATGGAGGCTGGATGGTGCGGGTGGTGGAGGTTGGATGGAGGCTGGGTGCGGGTGGTGGATGGTGGAGGTTGGATGAAGGGATGGTGGGTGGTGGATGGTGGAGGTTGGATGAAGGCTGGATGGTGCGGGTGGTGGATGGTGGAGGTTGGATGAAGGCTGGGTGGTGGATGGTGGAGGTTGGATGAAGGCTGGATGGTGCGGGTGGTGGATGGTGGAGGTGTTGGATGGAGGCTGGATGGTGGGGTGGTGGATGGTGGAGGTTGGATGAAGGCTGGATGGTGCGGGTGGTGGATGGTGGAGGTTGGATGAAGGCTGGATGGTGCGGATGGTGGAGGTTGGATGAAGGCTGGATGGTGTGGTGGTGGATGGTGGAGGTTGGATGAAGGCTGGATGGTGGAGGTTGGATGGAGGCTGTGGTGTGGTGGATGGTGGAGGTTGGATGAAGGCTGGATGGTGCGGGTGGTGGATGGTGGAGGTTGGATGAAGGCTGATGGTGAGGTTGGATGGAGGCTCGGTGGTGCGGGTGGTGGATGGTAACGCAATGGTCTCCTTGTCGCTCGCTCATGAGTACTGGCGCTTCAACCTTATCGATGCTCGGGTCCCAGGCGATACGTGTGTGTGTGTGTATTGTGTGTGTATGTGTGTACTGTATGTATGTATTGTGTGTGTAGAGGGGGGGGGGTATACAGTCAGATACAGCGGACGGCTGGCGGCAGACATTGGGACAGACAGGTGCGGCAGACAGTGGAATAGTTAGGTGGCATACAATGGGACAGACAGGTGGGCGGCAGACAGAGAGAGTGACAGATGGACGGGAATCCATGTCATGAATTGAGTATGGAAGGTAAGCTGTATTAAATCTTGGGGTTAGGTTAGATTAGTTTAGTACTCGGACGGTTAATGTTTAGGTGAAATAAGTCGGTAAACCTAACCTAACTTAACCGAATTTAACCTGACCTAACCTGACCTAACCTAACCTAACCTAACCTAACCTAACCTAACCTAACCTTACCTTTATAGTATTTAAGGTTCAGAGATGGGGAGCATTATCTTACCCTCTTGAAATATTATATTGTCTCCCGTTCAGAAAATATGGCACTGCTGTAATGTGATCTTGTGGGTATAGAATTTAATTTTGTTTCTTTCCTCCAAAAATATAATATGTTTATTTTATTATTTAATAGATGGAATAAGGCCATATTTTTTTTATTTACTGTACTAATTTCATTGATTTATGTCCGTATTTTGATGGTAAATTCTGCCTTGAGTAAATATGTGAACCTTATTTACTGTATTGATAATTATTAATCTTTATTGTTTAACTGATAGAATACAGTCTGATCTGATGGTTATTTTATTGTACTGACTTTATTAACTTGTGTATGGCCCTTTATTTTGTCTTGATGGTAAACTGTTGTGGGTGAAGAAAATAAGAGAGCAGTTGTTTTGTCTTGAATTATTATGGATGACGGTCTCAGCTGCCCGCCACCAGGAAGTGTGTGTGTGTGTGTGTGTGTGTGTGTGTTAGTGTGGGGCAGATAGTGAGGGGTGTAAACAAGGTGGTGGTACGGGGGATAATAAATGTGAGGGTGGTTGGTGGTGGTGAAGGTGGTGGTGATGGTGACAGTCGTGGTGGTGGCGGTGACAGAGGTGATGGTGATGGAGAAATGTTTAGTGTCAGTAGAGGTGTCACAGGAGATGGTTGGTGGTGGTGGGGGGTGGTGGTGGTGATGGTAGGGGGACGGTGGAGGGGGGGAATGGTGGAGAGACGGTGGTGTGTGGGAGGGGGCGGAGATGAGCCAAGGATAAGACAAGAGGTAGCAGGTGGTGTGGTCGCGACATTAGGCCCTAATGTCCTCCCAGGGTGACCTAAGGAGGGTCGTTTGCCTCTGCCGTGCGTTAGGGAGAGGTAAGGGTGGTGGCAGGGGTAAAGGTGATGGCAGGGGTAAGAGTGGTGGCAAGGATAAAGGTAATGGGAGGGTAAAGGTGGTGGCAGGTGTGGTGGTGGTTGGTAGTTGTGATGTTGGTAGAAGAAATATATTATATGGTGATAGTGGTAGAGGAGTTGTGTGGTGGTAGTTATGGTGGTAATGTAGAAAATACTAGGATTGTGGTAGTTGTGGTGGGAGAGGATTTGCTTGTTGGTGGTGGTGGTGGTGTAGTAAAGATGAGGGGTGAGGGATCAGTGTAGACGGGTGAGAGAGACGGAGAGGGTAGGTAGGTAGAGACAGGCGGTAGGAGGTAGATAGGGTAGGTAAGGGAATAGGTAGGTACAGTAGGTAGGTGTAGGTGCAGGGAGGAGGGATGAGTCAGTTGGAGAAGCTACTACAGGCCGCCAGCACCATTGATCCTGTCTCCTGGCTTCTCCCTTCCCCTCTCCCCCCTCCTCTCTCCACCCCTCCCTCCCCCCTCCCCCTTCCCCACTCCCCCTCCCCACGATAGTCATGGTCTCGTTGCTCTCTGTTGATCCCTATGGTACTGTTGTGGTAGTAGCCCTTTGGAGCCTTTCCTAGACTACGTTCATTTGATAGCCTCTAAAGGTAAAGCTACTTGTAATTGGCCATCTGGGATATGCAATTGTAGCCTAGAGGTATCATTGGTAGCCTTGGGATAGCTTTATTATTATGGTAGTCTCGTGGAGTGCATCAAATAGCCTCCCCCCCTGATAAGTAAAGACTTAGGCTATCAGTAGTAAAAGCCTTATTGGATTAACAGTGGCCTCAGATAATATACGAGTACTATAGCATTGTGGTACTCGGGTGGTAGATAGTCTTTGGGTACTCTTCAGATAGGCTTTTTGAGGGTATTTATATATATCGGTAGTATAGCCTTCTAACGGCCTCGTGGTGTGGATATGTGTGATAGCCGTGTGATGTGGCGTCTCTAGTAGCCCACTGAACCCGTATTGGTATAGTCCCTCATGATATAGCCATTTGGTATAGCCTTATGATATAGCCCTTTAGTATAATCTTAAACAACAGCGTATAATGGTAGCAGGTAGTGTGGTGATAGTGGTGTAACTAACTCTCAACAACACCACGGCAACATTGTGTTTGTGTTGGAGTCGTGGAGAAGAAACAGCTGTTGTTTATTTACCTTTAAAGGGTTGACCTGTCCCCCTTGTTATTTACCAACATTTACACCCACACGTGGCCGTTGTTTACACTTGTTTATTACAGTGCTGGGGGGTCGTGGATTCATACCTGGTTAGTCCCCGTTCGTTGGTTTGTTTATAAAGTGTATTGGGAGGGAGGGGGGGGGGGTTACTGTGCACGTGAGATATATGGTGTTTTTGTTGTGTGTTTTGTTATTATTAAAAACAAAAACAGTCCTCAAAACAAGTCTGTTTGTTCGTAATCTTTTTGTATCGTATTTATTTGAACCTGTTGTGTTGTTGTTATTTTTTTTTACCTGTATGTGGATGATTAATGAGGAATAATTAGTGTTCCTCCTCCTCCCTCCCTCTCTATCTCTCTCTTTTTGTCTCTCGCTCTCGTTTTTCCATCACTCTTTTTCCCCCTCACGTTCATTCATTTCTCCATTCACGTTCACTCACTCTCCCATGTCCCTGCTTCCCTCTGCCCTTCACTCCTCACTGCTCCCCGTAATGACAAGGGAGATATATATATGAGGGTGAGTCAGTGTGGGGGTGAGTCAGTGTGGGGGTGAGTCAGTGTGGGGGTGAGTCAGTGTGGGTGACAGTGGGGGGTGGAGCCAGTGTGGGGGTGAGCTGTGGGATGAGTCAGTGTGTGAATCAGTGAGGTGAGTCAGTGGGGTGAGTCAGTGTGTGGAGGGTGAGCCAGTGGGGGTGAGTCAGTGTGTGGGATGAGCCAGGTGGGGGATGAGTCAGTGTGGGGGGTG